TTTGCCTAGGATTGTCTTGGCTATATGGGCTCTTTTTTGGTTCCAATTAAATTTAGAGTAGTTTTTTCTAATTCTGTGAAGAAAGTCAATGGTAGCTTGATGTGGATAGCATTGAATCTATAAATTACTTTGGGCAGCATGGCCATTTTCACCATATTGATTCTTCCTATCCATGGGCATGGAATGTTTTTTTACATTTGTTTGTGTCCTATTTTCACTCCTAAGTGGGAGTTGAACAATGAGAACACATGGACACAGGGAGGGGAACATCACACGACACGGCCTGTTGGGGAGGGGTGGGAGGGGACTAAGGGGGGGATAGCATTAGGAGAAATACCTAATGTCGATGACGGGTTGATGGGTTCAGCAAATCACCATGGACATGTATACCTACGTAACAAACCTGCACGTTCTCTATGTGAACCCCAGAACTTAAAATATAATAATAAAAAAAGAGGAACAAGCTTTCAAGAAAAAACGTGCAAGAGGTTTGTTATTCATGCTATCTTTATGTCCTTCCTTAATACATTTGTTTTATAAACATTTACTCCCCAGCCCTGTGCTAGGTACCTGGGATGCTGAAGTTACCCAGCCTTTGTCTCCCCTCAAAGAGCTCTTATTCTAGTGAGGGAAGATAAAACGTGCTGGGACAAAACATTGTAGTGGAAAGAGATGGACTATGCTTGAGAAGCGTGGGTGGTTAGGGAAGCTTCACAAAGGTGATGACATTTGAGCTGATTTTCGGGGTAAGTTGAGTTCACCATGCACTCAGGAAGGAAGAACTTCCCAGGATGAAGACAGAGCAAGCACAAAAGCTTGAGATTTGCTAAAACATGCTATCTTGGGAAATGTCTGGGGTCTGGAGTGTACTGTGTCTGGGAAGGTAGTAAGAGATGAGATTGGTAATGTTTTGGGGTCACCCCCATTTAGATGCAGAGAGGAGGCTGGCCATGGGCTACTTGAAATTATTTTGGGAACACAATCCGGAGCTTCCAGGACTTTTGTTAAATATGACCAGCTCTGCATGATCCATCTTGTGAATTATCAGAAGTCTTGCTGCACATTACTTCCCCTTGACCACCATAGGAATGTATTCTTAAAATAAAAACTAATTGAAGATCAGTCCAAAGAAATCATAATCATGAAAGTAAATGTGCTGGAACAACTCAGAGTGGCTCTTCTTTTTTTCACAAGCATGCAGGGCAAGATAAGACCAACAGCTGCGAACAAGCGGTGGTAATTTTTGGCTGGTACCACATAACCAGTGGGTTGGTCAAAAAAAATTTGGACTGACCTACACATTGGATATGAGAACCATATGTTGATGGGATCCACTTGTATAACGCACTCCCTGTATCACAGTGAAATAAATATGTGCTTCATTGTTAGTGCAGCTGATGTGAAATGTGAACATGGTGCTTTGATTTTATAATGTTTAATGTTTTCTGATTATAAAGTAATAAAACATTGTGGAAAGCTGTCATACACACACAATTAATACAAGGAAAAACAAAATCATCTGCCACTACTAAGAAACTAAGAAAATCACTATTAATATCTTGGTGCACTTACTTTGTTTTTTCTTACAGCTAAAGTTTATTAAAATGGATTTTAAAACAATACAGTATAACATTTAATTGAGTCCAACACCTCCACTAAGCATTCCTCTATGAGAATGCTTTTCTCATTTTACTGCCATTACTTGCTTATACTTCTTTAATATTCCTAGACTAGATTCTAAGGGTTGTGGGGATGGGAAGATATGTTATTCTTACAGTTACCTAATTTTGGCACTGGAACCCAAAACTGAGATTCAAGTTCTGGTACACTGACTTTGCAAGTCCCAGGAATCCAGGTGTTTATCTTTTCATCTCTACCACTAGCCCTGGCCCAGAATCTGGCAGATGGCATAAACTCAGTGAATATTGGTTTGCTTTGAATAAACGAATGAATGAAATGGATGGATGGATGGATGGATGGATGGGTGAATGTGGATTTTTATTTATCCTTCTTCACCCAAAATTCATTAATTCCCTGCCAAGTGCCAGGTCTGGCTAGGCAACAGAAATATCACTAGCGATATGTGATACGAAACCACTCCCTCAGAGGCGTCTCTGTGAAGGTGTTGAACTCCGCTGATGTGGGTGGGATAGGGTTCCTATGAGTACAGAGCCCTTTGCTGGTGCTCATGGCTTGTCTGGGGGAACCCAAGACCCTCCAGGCTCTCTTTGGCAAGAGACAGAGCACAGACCATGGAGCACTATTCCTGTACTCCTCAAAGTGCTCCAGAAGTGACTAGCCTTGGGCCTGTCTTCCCCAGGGCGCCCCTCCACTACCTCCGGGATTCCAACTTGTCCAAGCTCAGTGGTAGGCGTCCTGTGGAGAGGGTACCTCAATGGAGAAAGACTATAGAGGGTAGGGGCGCCACTGCTCCCTCAGATGAGAGCAGCTCTTCACAAACCTTCCACCACCCCAGCCAGCTGGCACAACTGGAAATCCCAGATAAGCCCCGGTTCTGGTCAGAACTGGTTTGGCAGCTCTGGGGAAATTTTTCTTTCTGACTGACCCTTCTCACTGCAGGAGCTGGCAGTTTTGCAAAACAAAACAAACAAACAAACAAAAAGAAGGGAAGCAAAGAAAAGGCGGGGCCAAACTAAGGAGTTGGGAAAGAGGGGGTGGAGGAGGGCGCAGGTAGAGTGGCTAAATTTAAAACACTCCAAACTTCTGCTGGCTTCCAAGTTTACACTTTGAGATTCAAACAAGATTGTCTCCACCCCCATCCTGCATTCATTCTCTCACACACTTCTCTCCTTGGCAATGCAGTTTTGTTGCAATGCAATTTGACAGCGCGATCGTTGAAGCAATATAATCCTGCCCGCAGCGCACCTTTTAATCAATGCATTTTTTCCTGCAATGCTCTTGTTATTATTATTATTATTGCAACTGAATCTCTGAACCCTTTTCCCTCCCCATTCTAATCGCGCTCCGGCTGTGATTGCTCGGGTCTGACTTTGCAAGTGGCAGTGCGCTTCCAAACCCCCCTCATCCGCCCCTCGTCCCCCTTTCCCCCCTCCCTCTCTTTTCCGCGCCCAGGCGAGAGCAGCCGATTGGCAGAGCGGTGCTTTCAGGAACAATAACAGTGGGGGGAGCCTGAGTCCCGGGGAGCCGCCCCCTCCCCCGCCAGCACCGCAGCTCGCGCCCCCCGCCGGATCCCCACCTCCGCGCCCGCCCCGCGGGCTGAGCGGCCCGACCGGGGCCCGCCCCCGGCGCCCATCATGTACGCCTTTGTGCGGTTCCTGGAGGACAACGTCTGCTACGCGCTGCCCGTGTCGTGCGTGCGCGACTTCAGCCCCCGCTCGCGGCTGGATTTTGACAACCAGAAGGTGTACGCCGTGTACCGGGGCCCAGAGGAACTGGGCGCCGGGCCCGAGAGCCCCCCGCGCGCCCCCCACGACTGGGGCGCGCTGTTGCTCCACAAGGCCCAGATCCTGGCGCTGGCAGGTGAGCGAGTGAGCGAGCGGGAGGGGAGGGACGGTGGGATCCGGGCGGGGGCCGGGACCCCGGGAGGGGCCGGGGGCCGGGGGCAGGGGGCCGGGACGCAGGAGACTGGGGAGCCACTACTTGCTCCTTCCTGCCTCCTTTTCCCGTCCTCTGGGCTTTTCATTTGGGAACGGGGTGTCTCTTAGAGGCCAGGCCAGTTAAAAAGACCGGATGGTCCCCTTTGTCTTCCCCGCTTCCCCGGCGCTCCCGCGCTGTCAGTCTGTCTTCATCTCTTCATCCGTGTCTGTCCTCCTCTTTCTGATTCTTTGTGTTTTCTTCGCTCCTTCACTTTCCCTTTTTCTCCTACTGGGTTGTACTGTCATTTCTCTCTCTCTCACCTTCTCTTTACCTCTCTCCCAGTTCCTTCCCTCTCTGTTCTTTTCTGTCTCCTTAAGTTTCTCAAGCTGTCTGTCTCTCTCCCTTTAAGGCTGTTGGTACCTCCTTGGAGTGAGGAGCAAGAAGGATATTGTCAGATCTTCTAGGTGAGAGTCCCTCCTCACAGAGGGAAGCTATGACATCCTTGTCCCATCTGGGCCGACATTGGACAGCATGAGGAGGCCTTGAACCTCAGTGCAATGGGCGCCACACTACACTCTCCTGCCCCTCCCTGGCCAGGTGGCAGAGGTAAGGAGGTAGAGGCCCTAAGGCATTCCTCAGCCTCCACTCTCCTTTCTGAATTTCCCAGAAGGCCACCTGAGTGAGAGAGCTGAGGGCCAGGACAGAGTTTCTGGGTCACAATAACTCTGGACCTCTCATCTCTGCTCTGCCAGGACCGGGAGAGATAGGCTAAGGCAACTGGTCTCGTCTCCATTTGATAGATGAGGATACTGAGGTTCAGTGGGTGATAGGGCAAGAAACCAGCCCTTTATCTTCCTATGCTCCAGTTCTTCCTGCCATGCTGAGATATCTTTTCCTTTGTAAAGAGAAGACAGCTGGCCCCCTTTCCCAGCTAGTTCCAGGAAGATTGAGTCTAGACAAGCAAGGAAGAGGGAAGTATCATCTCCGTTTTGGGGAGCAGCCTTTTTAGCTGCTGCTGGTAAGGAGAATGAACCTTAAAGTGGGCAAATAGTCACCCTGCCCTCCACCGGAAGGAACACCAAGGGTTAGGAACTGAATGAAGATGTTAGTATTTTGTAATTCTGAGACCTTCTCTATTTTTTTTTCAAGTTTCTTTGCTTCCTCACATTTAGCCTAAAAGATGAACCCAACATCCTCTCAATCCATAGTGACTTGCCCAGGGTCTCATGGCAAGTTAGTTCAGTCTCATGAGTCTGGTTCCTTTCCACCACCTCATGTTGTCTCTGGAAAATAGGTTTGCAGAGCTGAAGAGTGGAAGAACTGGAAAGTGACCAGCAGCACTGGGACACTTTTTGACGGGCTCTATCCATACCACCTCCCTCAGAAGCCCTGGCACACAGGCGTGTGGGCCCACCTACTGCCTAAGGCCAGAGAAACTGAGAGAGAGGAAGCAGGTTTTAGAAAAGGGAACCATTCATAGCTGATTGGATTTTATTTTGTTTGCTTCCTTGCCTTTAATTACCTGAGGGAAGGGATTAGGAATTTATTTCCCAAGAGGATAGGCTTGAGGAAGTTATAACTAGGTTGTAACCTTAGCTTCCCTTTTGCTAAAAGAAAAAGCATGCATGCATGCTTCTTGATGATTGTATTGTACTCCTAGATCTGGAAGGGTCCTAGGAGAGTAGAAGTGGTATGTGTCAAAAAGAGTTAGTGGTATGTGTCTTAGTGTGTAATGGCTGTTTTCCTCTCTTGAAGATTGTTTTATTCATCTACTCATTCATTCAGCAAACATACATATACCCTGTGCTTGACTCTTCAGCTACTGCAGAGAGGCCACTTAGGCAGATGGCAGCTCCCACCAATCTCATGAATTTTGAACCTGTAGACTGTTCATTCTACAAGTTAGAATGTTGATAAATCTGTGAGGTTATTTTAAAAACGAAACAACCCAGGCATCATCTGGAAACTGGCAGAGTAGCTTCAAAGAAGTGTACCAGTTTGAATGAGTTGGAAAACACTTTCCCTTATCTCTCTTCAGTTTCTATCTTGGGAGGTGAAAGGGGAAAAAAAGACAATTTGAAGTTGGCCAAACCAAACCACATTTTGAATTTCAGTCTCCTGGGTAATTTTTACATTGGAGCCACTGCTCTGGATAGAGACCTGACTAAATGGCCAGAGTGTTGGGCAATTCATTTATCCTGGAATAACTCTGATGTGTCTTCAAACCCTTTCTTGACTTAAACTTGGTGGCTCTGAGAATTGCTTGCAGTGACTTCAAAGAGCTCATCTGGCTTCTCCTATATGTAAATACCACTGTGCTGTGGTACCAGGTGTGAGGAGGAAACCTCTCAAGTGGGAAGCAGAGGTGGCCTTATGTTTATGGATTAGCTATTAATTGATTAATTAATCTCTCTGACACCAATAGAATGGTTTCAGAGGTAGTTTCAGCAGAGCTTTCTGGCTTTTGGTGAGAAGTACATTGCTATACTGAGTGTTGGCCCAACCCAACCCAGAGCTGTCTTGAAGTATACTTCTTATATTCAGGAAATGTCAAAGCCGACTGCTGTGGGATTTTACATCTTACTGCCCATAGTAGTTGGTGTATACCACTACTTATCAAATTACATTCCCATTCAAGGGAAAACAAAAAAAAACCTTCTTTCTGACAGTCTTGCTATGTGCTTGTGTATTATCTCTGTTGGTCCTCTAAGTGACATTTTGGTAGGTATTGCTGTGGTTAATATTTCCATTTCATAGATGAAGACACCGAAGCTCAGAGACTTGCCTACAACCACACAGCTAATACATGGCAAGGCTGGAATTGGAATACAGGTCTTCCGGTGCCAGGCCCCCACTTGGCAGTCCCCTTTGTAAAGTAGCTGATGTTCCCAACAGCTACAGAGCATGATTTGGAAGGAGTGAAAGGAAGTGGAAAAACTGTCCATGAAGCTTACAGCTCAAGGCAAGTTTTCAAGCCAGAGTATAATTTTAGTTTCTGAGTTTTCAAGCCCATTCTGCTCTTTCTCCATTACCAGCCTCCCTCTTACAGAGCACACATAGCTGTCCTCCTCCCTGCCTATCTCTTCAGTTGGTATTTGCTTGAATAAATCTTCGCCAAGGCTCTCCCTCTTGGAGGGTCCACAGAACTTAAGGTTTGACTTACTTTGACCTGTGGTCTCTCCTTACTCTCATTTATTTGCCAAGCAGGTTGTGAAAGTGAGAACTACTCATTTGGAGAGCTCACCATCATGTAAGTGCAATCCAGCCTGCTACTGGGGCTCATAGTGTTGAATTTTATGTTTCTAAAGGGGCCCAAACTGGTTTCTCTGTGCCTAGAGTCCTAAAATTCTAAGTTGGTCTGCCTAGGCATCTGTGCTCTGTTACTGTTGTTTGAGTGTGCTAAATGTTTTTGTTGTTAGATGCCTCCTTACTGTATGCCAGGCCCAGTGCTGTATTAAGTGAAATATATCAATGCACCTATGCATCTCAGGTACTGTGATTGAAATGATAGCAAGACCGAGGGTTGGCAGGCATTGACTTTTCATGTTCTGCTATGTAGGATTTCTGTGGGCGAGAGAGTGATGAAAAATGAGTATCATCCTCAGGGAGTATATAATTTGGGGGCCTGAAAGTAAATGTTAAATAAAGGTGGAAACCAGGCACTGGGGGAGCACAGAAAATGGACCACTTCAAGGTGGGCTTTGCAGTTTGTCTTTTAAGTTTTTCCTTCTCCAGCTCCACCATCACTGCCTGCATTCAGGCCTGCATCATCTCTTACTTATCTAAACCAGTGAAGCAGTCTTCTAATTGATTACCCTGTCTCTGATCTCTTTTCTCAATTGCTTTTAGAATAATCTTCTAAAACATAGTCTTAGTTGACTGCTCTCGTTAGAACCTTCTGTAGTTCCCTATTGCCTACTGAATAAAGTTTTAGTTTCTTAACCTGGCATTCATAGCCCTCCTTAGACCAGCTCTATCCCCAGCCCCACCTTCCTTCTCCAGCCTCAGTCTCTCTTCCCCTTTCCCTGAGACCTATGCTATTTCTTACTCTTCTGTGAACACACCCTCTTGCATGCCTTTGAGCTAGCCAGGATGGATTAATCATTGTCTGATACGAGGCCTCTGCCCACAAAAAACTCACCTTCTGGTGAGGAAGATAGACATGTGACAGAAGTTTGTGGTCCAGCCCCCTCATCCTGTGATAAAGGAGTGGACAAAGTGCATTGGGAGCACCTTGCCTCAGTGGCATTCCCTATTCCTCCCTCTGCCCCCAAGAGAGACTCTCTCCCTCCTCAGAACTCTCTTTTCACTTTGCTTTTGCCTTGCTTATGGATTGTAGCATTTTATATCTTGTTTTTATTAGTCATGAATGTGCCTCTCTAACTGCCTGACAGAGAGCTCCTCTAGGACAAGGTGCTGGCTTCCTTGTGCCTGCATCCATAGTCTACACTGATATGCCCATGTTTAACTCATGAACTTTGGGAAGACAGGTGCATTTTTGTGGTTGAGGAGAGGGAAGTCGGGGAGATAAGAACCTCTGCAGCAGCAACTTGTTTTTCAGAACAGAAACCTGCAGTGGGATTTTAAGGTTTCATTCAACTTTGTTCATCTGGAAAAAGTCAACATTCTTTATATCACTCCCTCAACTAGCTAGAAGAAACCCCACACTTGGGGGAAATAGCTTCCAAAGCCACGTTCTTATTGCTTTGGTAATTTTAGCTCATTCAGGGCTCAGGTCCCAGCTTGGCATTGTTAGTCCAAATAGATCATTTGCTCCAGAAATGCTTTGGAACTTCTACAAAGTTAGCAATGAAGCAGGGGACTAGCCGATTTCATATGCAAAGATTGTTGCATGTCATCAGTGGGAAACTGCCAACAAAAGGATTTATTTTCTTTAAAAAAAGTGAGTGAAAACTTTTAATTTAGGTTTTGACATGTTTTGC